CCAAAGCAGCAGAAAGATTCTTCAGGTAATGAAAAACGAATTAATTTGTCTTGTGGAGCTGATCACCTACGCTCCAATTGCCGCTTCCGAAATGCCAAGTGTCGTGCATGCGGGAAAACTGGCCGCATTCGGCGAGTGTGTAAACAGCCCCATTGCAATCTCGCACAGCCATCGGTCGACGAGGGAACCATCCCTGTGCTTTCCCTACGAACCCGAAGTCAATGTGCCCAGTACCTATACCAAGATGTGACATTCCATTAGGGTACGAAGCATAATTTCATTGAGGATACCGGAAGTACGGAATCTATCATTTCAACTAAAGTACTGAATCTATCTATCAGGAAGCGCAAGTTCATCAAATCACTGTGCAAATTGTTGGCATTACTGGTCACAAACTTCCATTGGTGGGGGAGGTGTCGCTATTGGTTCGCTCAGCGAAAAATTGCTTCCTCCTAATTCGATTTCTGGTCGCTGAGAGAATTGATTCCATTCTTGGTCTGAACGCCTTACGGAAGTTGAACAAACCCGTGTCACTGCAGTTCTGCAAAGCACCAATTGTTCATGCCCAGTGGCGGAGGCCGATCGCGAGTAGTCCCAATAACGTTGGAACTATGTGCACACAATCCTCCAAATCGAGAAGCACTGGTCGCCGACAGTTACGCACAATGTCACATTCTTCCTGCTCGCACGATGTAGCAAAGAATTTAGTGAGAACGGTGAAAAGTGCTATTTCATCGGCAAGCCAGAAGACCGTGTCACAATTTGAAGAATTGCTAAAGAATGTCCTATCAAAGTCCGAGAGTGTCGTGCACCACAAGTTCAAAGAAAAATCGATCAAACCGCACAAATCACGAAGATCGCGAACATCAGTGCGATGTGTTACTTCGTCAAACGATTCACCTGATCAGCAACGAAGAATCCACCCAATATACCCAAGCGACTCTACAAGTTCGAACGATCAATTCATTGAACCTATACTCTCAAGTACAAGAATAAAAAACAGGAATCCGGTGATCCCGAAGTACCTAACAGAAAGATTACTACACTTGCCCCACGAAACTCAGTCCCAGCAAGATTTCAGTTGGACGACATTCTTTTAAGGGAGGAGAGTTGTGGTGATTCGGATCTACGAGATCACG